GCGGCCCCCGGGCGCGGAGGAAGGCAGCCGGAGTGCAGGGCTTTCTAGGCAGCACAGCTCTCCCTGCAGCCCGCTCCCCCCGGTGCCAGGGCGCGGCTGAGCCCAGGGAGAGCAGAGCACGGGGGCCGCGCTGCTCGGCAGAGAACAGGGTTCACCCCGTCGATGCACCTAACGATGAGCGTGACACTCGGCCTTGCCACCCCCCAACCAGAGCGACTCCAGCCATCCCAGCAGCGGCTGTACCACGCACTCACCAGCTCTCCCTGCAGCCCGCTCCCCCCGGTGCCAGGGCGCGGCTGAGCCCAGGGAGAGCAGAGCACGGGGGCCGCGCTGCTCGGCAGAGAACAGGGTTCACCCCGTCGATGCACCTAACGATGAGCGTGACACTCGGCCTTGCCACCCCCCAACCAGAGCGACTCCAGCCATCCCAGCAGCGGCTGTACCACGCACTCACCCACAGCCCGGCCTAGGGCTCCCGCCGCAGACCAGTGACCGGGGCGGGACAGATGCCCACGGACGGGCCTGGGCTTCTCCGCTCAGCACAGGAGGCTCTCGGGCCTGGCGGGTCATCCTGCGCGTGCTCCTCCTGCTCCGTGCCCACGCCGCACACCAACGGCCAGGCCCCACGGCAAGGGCAGAAAGGACCCAGGCGAGGGAGTTTCTCTACTAAACATAAACTTTTATTTCATTCAAGGCAAAGCTAAATAAAACTCTATAGTGCAAAGTGTTTGGAAAGGCATCGGACAGTGTCCCTATACATTCAGTATTTACAACTATGTACTGTGTCTGTATGTACACATATACATGTGTGTGCGCATAATGTACAGTCCCCTCCCTGCCCCTCACGGGACAAGGTGCTGGGGGACACCCCGTTTTAAAGCGGGGGAACAGCTCGGGAACTAGTGGATTTTCCAAGCTGGCGGAGCCCTCGCTGCATGCCCATTGTGCAGTATATCTATAAATCCAGACGTGTACAGGCCCCTAAGGGTCTCAAAGGGATTGTTACGCAGTCTCTAGGCAAGCCGGAGGAGTGGGCCGTGCACAGAAGAGCATTGCATGTCGCGTGGTAGGTGGGACATCCCCAACACCACTTCTAGAAAAGACTAACAGCTCATGACAGCTAACAATCATTCTAACCCACCCTCTCCGCAGCGCCGTGGGCGTGGAAGTGCTGCACAGAGGCTGGACTGGGGATCTCACGGGGCAAGGGAAGATTTTTGCGTCTTTTGGTCTAAAACATCATGAGCGACGATGACCCGCGAACCGGACTTTGCATTTGCGCAGCCCCTTTTGTCCAAGGAGCCGAGCGCACGTGACAAGCAACCCCCGAGGCAGGTCAGTGCTGTCAGCCCATTTCACAGACAGGGAAACTGAAGCACAGAGATTTCCCCGGGCTGCCCACAGACACACAGCAGCAGAGCAGCAAACAGAACCCAGCAGGCCTACCTGCCTACTCTAACCAGTGGCCAACACTGTCAAACCTTTCAGAGCGTATCCCCATTGCCCTGCATCCTGAGGAGCTCCGTGAGTAGACAAGGGGCCGGAAAAACCCTTGCAAACTGCCCTGGTGAAAAGCACAGTCACAACCGCACCAGCATCCGGTGCTTTGGGGGCTTCCCCCTCTTCCAACAGTCCCTCCATGGGCAGACTTGAGCACGGTTACAAGCAGGCAGGCGGGGCTCCCTGTCGATCGCTACCAGAGTCAAATTGCCATCGTACTCCTGTCTGCAAATGAACTGGCACGTCCCCCCCACACACACAGCCGCTGAGGCAGCCGGATCAGGCTGGTCCATACGCTAACTCCAGAACACACCCATGCAGTGCAAGGTTCTTGCACCGCTCATCCAGAGCAGGCTCCCACTCGCTGACAGAGCAGCAAAGCCGGTCCCCAGTCCCGAAAAGCCGCCCCGCCTCCGATCCCCACAGCGAAGGGGCTGGGGAGAAGGGCCCAGTTTCGGTCCTTGGCCCATTCACACACACAGATACAGCCCGCCCCAGAAATGAAGCAGCTGGCTCGTGACACGCTGCCCATAAAGGGCCACAGGCAACGGATTATTTCAGGCTGGATACAGTTCGAAGCCCATTCGCAGCTCTAGCGCCTTGAGACGCATGCCCGGGGGGGCAGTCTCCTGCGTTTACAGGCGGATTTCCCCGTGCACCAAAGGGTTTAAGTCCCACCCACCTCAGTGTCTGCTCCCCCTCCTGTCGCTTATACGACCACCCGGCGCCGCCCCCCCCCCTGGGCCCTGCTCCGCCCCCCCGGCGCCGCGGCGCCCACGCCTCCGAAGCTCTCCCTGAGCACCCGCCTGCTCTCTCTGTGGGCCCAGTGGGCTGCTGGGGGGAGAGGGCTGCATGCACGGAGCTCCCAGGGAGCTCTGCCGTCGGACCAGAGCACGAGCCAGGGCGCCAGCCCATGGCAGAGAACCAGGGGGCGCAGAACCCCAGCGCAATGAAAAGGGCTCTCGGGCCTCGCCAGCGGCACCAAGAGAAAGTGGAAGTGTCCAGGGAGAGACTGACGGTGTCCCTTTGAACATCACCCTAACCAGCCTTCCCGGGGCTCCTCCTCCTGTCACTGCTCCTCCAAGCGCCGCAAAGCACCTTACAAATCATACTAAGGAGGCCTCACAACATCCCCTGTGAGGTAGCTCAGTATTGTTATGCTCATTTTACAGGCGGGGAAACTGAGGCACCGAGCAGCAAAGCAGAGCCAGGAACAGAACCCAAGCACCCTGAATCCAAGCCCGCGCTCCCGGCAGAGTGAAAGGAACTCCCCGCTCTTTCTGCAGCGAAAGGGAAACTGAATGAGTTGTTTCCCCTTTAAGCCCATCAGATACGTGATTTGCATAACTAATTAAAGCCTTGATAAGCCAGCGTCTTCCATGTCTATTACCCTAAGTGCCAAGCTTTAAAAAAAAGAGTAACCCTGGAACCGATGGAAAACGCTACAGCCACTTCTCCCGAGAACGCCAGCCTGGTGCGCGCCCCAGGACAGGGGAAGCAGCTGAAGGTACCTTGGACACAGCTGGCTCCGGGACAGAGTGATGGAGCATGCTCCAGGCTGCTCTGCCTGGCCTGAGCACAGGAAGAGAGGCCGACCTGGCAGTCCCACACCATGCCCCAGTGCTCCGGAGGGAGCAGCAATGCCAGGGAGCGGTACAGACGCAGGACCGGTGACAGCCTCCTCGTGGCCAGCCTGTCCATCAGACACAGCCACAGGGACACCCAGGGCACTCTGCCTCGGCTGGGCCCACATAACAGGAGAAAGGGAGAACGGCGCATGGCCTGGCCCAGGAGCTGCCCTCTTTCCCACTGACTTGCTGCCGAGGGGCCGGGAGCGGAGGGAGGGTAAAAGCACAGCCGGCCCTGGACACCGAACTCGCTAGAGCCGGGGGCCATTCCTGCAGCTTCTGTCTTGCCCACATTTCCTCTGCCCCAGGACAGTCAGAAATGTGAAGCTTGTCAGCCCAGCTGCCTCTTCCCAGGCATGCGCCCATCACCATGGCGTCTTGGCTGAGTCCCAAAGACCCTCCAGAAGGGAGAGAACAGGAATCACAGCCCAGAGTCCCAGCCACCCTGCACCCTCCCCCACCCCGTGTGGCACTGCTGGCAGCGGGACACGGCACAGTCCAGAGCCAAACAAGAGCCATGCCCGCAAGCCGGGTGAGTGGAGCGACGAAGGGCAGGCAGGGGGGCCGAGCTCCCATTGCTCCTGCACCCTGCGCGGCCACAGAGCTGCCCCAGCCCGGACTGACGCAGGGGCACTGGAGCTGGAAGGGGAGGGAGCTGCCAGGTCAGCCGCAGCCCCGGCTGCTCCCCCTACCCAGCCAGGGCGAGGGACGAACGCCCGGCGTGGCAAAGGGGCCCCCGTGGTTTGCTTCAGAGGGGGCTTGGCAGCAGAGCCCTCTTCCGCCTGCCCCCAGCCCCACTCTCAGGCTCTCTCCTGGCAGTGTCCCAAGCAGCCTGGCCCCCAGAGGGCTCTGCTCCAGGAGCCGGCTGCCCTCTGCATGGTGCATGGCCCCCACCCAATGCCCAGCTCCCAGGGAGCCAAGCAGGGGACGTGCTCCCTGCCTCCCTCCCCGCTCCCAGGGCAGCGGTCTGGCTCGGCGCCCTCACGCCCGGTCCCCGGTGACGAGCTTGCCGCTCTCGGGCACACGCCGCACCCAACCCCCCGGCCCAGCCCACACTGCAGCGCAAGGAGACCCACCCCGGCCCTGCCTCCCCGAGAGAAAGGGGCTGGCCAGCTCCCTTCCCCGGCGCGGCTGAGGCACGGCGAGAGCGGAGCACAGCGCTGCCCTGAGCATGGCTGGGTTCAAAAGCAAAGAGACCCCCCAACCCCCGCCAGCAGAGCGTTGCTGCGCTTGCGTCAGGCCTTTGGGGGCGCTTTCCGGTCCGCCCTGGAGCCCGCCAGGCCGTTCTCGGTGTTGTCGACCCCCGAGGAGCTCACGAGGCACTCCTTCCTAGGACAGAGA